GCAGAGTGAAAAAATCAGAGTCACAAAAAGTAGAGACTGTCTTACACAAAAATTCAGAAATTAATGCCTGAACAGTAAGTTATTGTTTTATAAGCACACAGCATTTTTATACATGTACTCATTTAATCCTACAAAGTAGGTACCTAATACTATCCCACTTTACAGAAAAGGAAATGGAGGATGGAGAGGTAAAGAGACCGCTAGTAAGTGGCAGAGCCAGGACCTGACCCAACATCAGATCCTCCCCACTCCACCTATTGTTAGGTGCCTCAGCAGACAAGTCCCACTCAATCTGTACATGATTTTTTGAGAGAGAGTATAAAAAGAAAAGAAAAATTATCTTGCAACTATTAAAAGCTATTGCACCAAATAGAAAAGTAAAATAACTGAAAAATTCTTCCTCTGCTTTGAAACACGCACGTGACTCTATCTGGAATGCTTTAAATTCAGTCCAAGTCGAGCACGTGCCCTGATACCTGTAGGAGTTCCAATTGCAGTTGGAATAATGACAGTGCTGCACAGAGGGGGGTAAAGGGAGGAAGATGGGTTTGGATGTATTTGTGTGTGGGTGTTGCCCGTGTCAATCCGCCAAACCCACATGCAATCAGACGCTAGTCATACACCCTTTGAAACGGACAGGGTGATTGTACACAGCAGCCCACGCCTGCTCAGATGCCTGAAATAGACAAGAGCTGTGTAGGAAACGACGATCCAACCCGATTCCCTATGCTCTAGGTTGCCACACACAGACTTCCCCCTCACCTGGGTCCTTAACCCATGGGAATCCAGTCCCTCAGTTTACTGGCAAACACATGAAGAACAGAGTGGAATTAAGCTTTAGAGGAGTGTACGTAACCTTCTGGTAGAGCATAATATCTTCTGGACATATATTTTTATTTTTAAAGCATGGATCAGCTAGACATAGGCTATTGATTTGTTTTTTATTAATAGTAAAAGCAGTTTAATTAATGTTCATCACAATCCTGTAAGATAACTTCTATTATTATCTCCATGTTATATAATGTTTATTGCTTATTGAATTCAAAGTGCATTAGACTGGATGCAGCAACAGTTTTAACTAATTCAGGGGCAATAATCCTTAATTGAAGCAGTTTGTTCCTATGAATAACTTCCTGATGGTTTCCATTCACCAAGTCTTGCTACAACAGGGAGGCGATTATGGCATGTAGAAAGCGCACAGCCCTTGGAGACAGATACTTGGATAAATCTGCAGACATGCCAGGTCATCGCTCCAAGGCTCAGCACCTGCGTCTTTGAAAATCAGAGAGTGATACCCACACTATAACATAAATATCAGGAGGGGTGTAGCGTGGCATCATGGCATCCCCTGGGATACAAACCCAGGGGCCAGACAGCCTGGGTTTGTATCCCAGCTCTACCACGTACTGTCTGTGTAATCTTGGGCAAATTACTTAACCTCTCTGGCCCTTTCTTTCTTCATCTGTGAAAAGGAGACAGTTTTAGTACCAACCTAAAAGGTCATTATGAGGATTAAATGAGTTAAAATTTGTAGACGAGTTACACACTGCCTGATTCACAGTGAGTACTATGGGAATGCTTGATGAAGAAAATGAAATAGATATAAAGGTTATAAGAATTATTTTAAGGTGGAAGGAAGCATGGAGCAGAGTGCCCCTGACATCACAGGCACTCCACTGGGAGTTCTCCCTAAATCAGAGCACTACAGACATGGCAGGCCCTGAGTGGCTGCAACAGAAACTGCATCTCTATCCAGTAAGCTGAAACGGAAGACTACTTTGCGTACATTCTTATCATGTCATTGACTTGGCTTCTGTCAGCCACTCGACGCTTCTTCTCTCCCTCTCCCGCTGTCTTCACCTCCCAGTGATTATGGAAAACCAGCCACAGAATGTGAAATAAAATTGTGGTTCAGAAAGGAAACTCATTTTTGAAAGAACATTTCAAAGGAAAAAGATGACCTTGGCTCTCTGATATATGTCATCGACTTTGTGAACATTATCAAAGAAGAGGTTATTTTTTGCTTTTATTTAGGAAGCTTCGCCAAGTTAAAAAAAATTTTTTTTAAAATAAGAATCAAAGTCATATTAGGATAGTTTTAAAGTATAGGGCAATTCTTAAAGAATTACAAATAACGACCAACTGTTTTCTAGTTATGCTCCAATGAATTTTAGAAACTTGCTGAAAATTCCCTTCCTCCAGTATTTGTGTGCCTGCCTCATTTGGGCATTTTGCATGTGTGTATCCATATATAAGAGCTCTCTCTTTTACAGACGCCCACACGCCCTATAAATGCTATTTGAGTACTTATTTAAAGAGACAAGTACTTGTTGAAAATAAAAATGGTCTGACCAAAGCAGTTGCATAGAATTGGGATTTCATCCATTGGGAGCAGAGGAGAAAATATGACTCGGTCCATCAATTTTCATATAAGTAGGAATTGTTAAATTTAGCATTAGAAATGTGATGAATTTGATGATGATATATTTTTACCCTTACACTTTTTATTTCTTTTTTATATGCATAACATGTATGTCATATAAAAATAGAAAATATAGATAAAGCAAAGAAATGTTTAATAAAAATTAGAATAACCATTTTGGTAGAACTGTGACTAGGAAACATGTTCCCAAATTGCATGGATGGAGAGGACTGGACCGGAAGCTTTTAAAAACATTTCGCTTCTATTTCTTAAATTAAACAATGAAGAGTATTAGATAAAATCAAAAAGAGCCCCAAACCAGAGGTCAAAAAACCTGCCTCTAGTCCTATCTTATTGTTGGATAGCTTGAGTACGCCCATGAGCCTCAATTCCCACCCCCATCAAGAAAGAGAGTTGTACTAAAAGACTCCATGGAATTTGAGGATGCAGCCATTCTTATGGGCCGGTGGACACGATCCTCTGTTACAGCTGTCATCCTATCCTGGGACTCATAAAATCCTCTTTTTCTTAACTAGGCTGAAGAATTCCTCCAACGTTTTTGTTAATGTACTTTCAAAGCAAGCCCTCCCACACAACGAGTGACTATTCCCATGCAGTTCACCTTCCCAATGACCTGCTTAGAGCAGGGTAGGGAAGAACAGTGAAGGACTCGAAGGCCTGCTGGGGGTCTAGCATTGTGCCCCGCTTTGTAGCAATTGTTCTACCCAGGCTGCTATTATTTATCAGCCGGGCATATAAATTCACATGCTGAGGATCCAGTCATGTGTATTGAATAAGATGCACTAATACGTTTATTTTCTTCTTTCCTCCCAACGGTCAAAATCCAATTTCCATGCAAATGTGTTGGTCAGAACATTCTTATTTTTAACAAGTATAAGGATTCTTCTCCTTTAACAGGAAGATTTGGAATCACCGTTACAAACTGCACAGAATTCCTCTGGAGCAGAAGAGGTTTATCTCATTCTTACGTACCGAGACTGGCAGGGCTTAAAGGGGGTTTTCCAGGTCTGCCAGGGAAAAATCCACTAGAAACCAAGGCAAACCTCCAGGCCACTTCCCAATGCCCCAGGAAAGAGATGGAAGTAGAGCTTCTTTGCTTGCTGTCCAGAGTTCAGAACACATCTCACTTAAAAGCTAACTGGGGGCTGGCCAGTTCACTTGTAGCTTAGCGGTTAAGTGCACGCGTTCCCCTGCTGGCGGCCCGGGTTCAGATCCTGGGGGCCCACCGACGCACTGCTTGTCGGGCCATGCTGAGGCCGTGTCCCGCAGACAGCAACTAGCAGGATGTGCAACTATGACATACAACTATCTACGGGGGTTTTGGGGAGAAAAAGGGGAAAAAAAAGGAGGAGGATTGGCAACAGATGTTAGCTCAGAGCCTGTCTTCCTCAGCAAAAAGAGGAGGATTGGCATGGATGTTAGCTCAGGGCTGATCTTCCTCACACATAAAAAAAGTTAACTGACCTACCCGGTGTTAATTACTAGAAGAAACAGTGCAATTGGCCATTATTTTTATTTTGGGGGAAGTTGGTTTTCTTGGGATTCCTACAGGTCGGACAAGACCTTGTCATAAGGAATCACAAATCCCACCATGTATGTATAGCTTGTTCCCTCACTGTCTTCACATCTCTCCTTAAGTGTCACCTTTTAAGAGAGGTCTCCTCTGATTGCCCCCTATAAATGCAGCCCCTTTACCCTGCTTTTTCTTCCTACTTTAATTTCTCCACATATTACATATTTTTGTGTATGCATTTATTGTCTATCTGCTCCCACTAGAAAGGAAGATTCCTGAGGATGCAGGGTTTGTTTTGTTCACACCTATATCTCCAGTGTGAACAGCAACACACATTGTAGGTGCGCTCAGCAGAGTAGCTGTTCAATGACTAAATGTCAGACACCCTCCAGGTGAGGAGAGAATCATCAAGGGCGATAAAGAATAAAGAATTATGTAAGGGGAAGTATAAACCATCACATTAGCCCTAGGCATAGCAGGAATAGCTTTTTTTTGGTGAGGAAGATTGGCCCTGGGCTAACATCCGTGCCCATCCTCCTCCACTTTATATGTGGGACACCTGCCACAGCATGGCTTGATAAGCAGTGCATAGGTCTGTGCCCAGGATCCAAATCTGGGAACCCTGGGCCACTGAAGTGGAGCACGTGAACCTAACCACTATGCCACCAGCCCGGCCCCAGGGACAGTTTTTAATACATAGAGATCTCAATCACTTCACCACCAAATGCTCTCACATCTCAACCCCCATGACTAGAGATGGGCATTTCTAATGTAAAGTTTTGGAATTCTTTTTCCTTCATTTACTGTCAAAAGGTACAGTTTGATATCCAATTCTATTTATGTCTTTTTGAAATAAGGGAGATCCTTCTCGCTGCATGGGTTTTAGTGAAGGCTTCTCCACAGGTCACATCTTACAACTGAAAATGCCTTCGATAGGACTACTCTTGGCTCCAGCTAACAGAGTTTCTCAGAAAGGAAGGTACTTGCCTAAGCTACCTTTGAGGTACGAAGGAATTTATGTCAAGGGGTGGCTGGGGCACTTACTGCCGGAGCAGGAGGTTTCTTTAGGGCTGGACGACATCGGCTGTGCACAGAGCTGACAGAGACAGTCTCTCCCATTGAAGGTGACTCGATCTCCCGGTGGAAACGGGCGCCTGGAGACACAAAGACATCGCCCTCAAGGTTATTCCAGCTATTTTATTCCTTTTCCTTACTGCTGCTGCTGCCCTCTGGTGCCACTTCATTTCTTGGAGGGGCACCAGCCAAAATGTCTGAAACACAGTCTTAACCAAGCCAGCCAACTGGACATCATTCAAACAAATAAACATGCCTCAGTTTGAGAAGGGGGAATGCACTGCTTCCACAGGCGACCAGAGAGTAAAATGGAATGATTCACCTCTACTCATTAGTGGAGGGGTGTTCCAACAAGTTACCTAGCAGGGCACACACAGTAAAATTTTCCATTTTCCAAATGGAAAATCCTTCATGAAGAAACATTTTAAATACCATAAATTCCTATTCAAGCTTAAGGCCCCTCCCCAAGAGAACCAGTTACAGATCAAGCATTAACTTTTTCAGACTTGTTCCCTAGACCTATGTGATCATTAGGCTGAATTAGACTTTGTCCTGGACATCCGAATGGGTGAACTGAACGTTTCACAGTGCTGGAGATCCAGTCCCTTATAAACTTGGAGAAATACAATGCTGTAAACATCTGTTCAAAAGTGAGTATTAGCTGCTTCTCCGAAAGGCAATTTCCTTTCACGTTAGACATTCAATGACAGCACATTTTGCAAAAATATTCCTTCTGCATGTATGTTATCAGTTTCTTCTCCCAGTTCAGCAGGCAGATAGCTTTTTAAAAAAAAGTCATTAATTAATAGCCATATGACAGTGTCCATCCTGCTTACTTGCAACTGATCAACTTGCCAATAATCTTCATCAACACGAGTTTTCAAATGTATGATTCTGTCAACTAGGAAATAAACTCGCAAACAAAACATCCCCACACATCTGAGTCAGAGCAGTTACTTAAGAACAAATTCAAGCCTCTTGACATGATTTTACTTTCACAGCTGCTATCCCTCTTTTAAGTTGCCCTTAGGCTGCCTAACAGTTGGTAATTAACTGTAATACACACACAGGTAGTAAATTTGGACTTAACTCCACAAATATGCTTGGTGCCAGTCATCAAGGAGAGTTTTAAACTCTCACATCCCCAAATTTTAGAAGTGCTGACTTAAGGTGGTCTCCTCTCCTTTCATGGTACTGTGTTACTTTCCATTGTTCAGATAAGGCCCAGAGAGGTTAAGTGACTTGCCTGGATTGACCAGCTAGGGAAACCAGGTCACAGGCAGGTACAAGTGACATCCTCCAACTCTGAACTGCTCTATCTTTAATAATCAAAGTCACACTCTGGTGGATGCCAGTGGGCTTACTGCTTCACAAGCTGAATAAGCCCCCAATCTGCTCTGTAAGAAGGGCATCAGGGAGCTAAGGGTCCATAAACACAATAAGCACAGGTTCTTTGCCTCTGATCAGGGCCAGGACTAGGGTGAGGCCAGTGAGGCGCCTGGGGTGCAACATTTAAAGAGGCCCTAACTCTCAGGAGCTGACCCTGCACTGCAGGACCCTGAGAGTGAGTGCCCTTTAAATTGTGCACTGGAGGCACCTCACCCGCCTCACCCTAATCCAGGCCCTCCCTCTGACCTAAGCTTATATTTTTATACTTGAATCCCACACAGACCACTATGGGATAAGATGGAGTCCAGTTTTCATCACGGGGCCAGGTCTTTGAGTTTTGTTATTTTATCAATAACCCTCTTTGGTACTTTCCCCCTTCCCTATGTCCTCTACCCATATGGGTTCACTTCCTTCTGTTATTTGCATGAATGCTTGTAATAGAAAGAGAACTGGATTTAGAATCAGAAAACCCGAGTTCAAATCTTAGCCTTGTAACGTTAGTGACTGAGAAAGTCCCTTAAACTCTGAGACTCAGGGCCACTCATAAACAGGATATTAATTCTTGATTGACTTCACAGAATTGCTAAGAGGGTTAAATTAAATTCTACATGAATGCAATTTGTAAATTGTAAAGGAGGCCTCCAGTTCTGAAGGTGGAATTTCTGTCTTCCAGCAGTAGCAGCAGCAGCTCTGTAGCAGCGATAGTGAGCACCTCTCTGCTGCTCCAATGTCCAGGGACAGGGCCAGCGCTAATAAATGTTTGTCCATTGTTACCAACTTTAAAGGATCTCTCAGGGTCAGGCCCAGGAGGGCTCTGAGAGTTTATCTGGGCCAGGGCCTTCCAACCTGGCTGAGTCACATCACACTTGCGAACCCTCCAGAAACTACTAAATCAGCATGAGAGTTTTTTGGGGGAAGGCTAGAAATGGATATTTTTAAGGAGACCCTCTCCAGGGGATTCCAGCGAGCATCCAGGTTTGGGGACTCACTCGTATCTAGTCCACAGGTTCTCATTTCACAGACGAGGCAATTGCCTTGCAAAAGTTAATTCACATCGGTCGCGAATCAGCCTGGGAAGCAGGACTAGAACTCCAGTCTCTTGAATGCCAGCCTAGGCTCTTAACTAGGCTCCAGCCTGAAAAGGGACAGGTCAAGAGGAACCTTTGCTTTTGATAAAATGTGGAAAACTTTTCAGCTCATTAATCCAGAATTTTTAAACTATTATTTTTAAAAAATGTAATTGAGAAATAGGCTAATCATAAAAGTTAATAAAATAATTTTATTATGAATATTTCACTTAAATCTTATTATGATTTATTTATGAATATTATCTTGTTAAGTAATTATATAAAATTAAATTTACCCTTCTAGAGTCTACATCTCTCTGGCCTAGAAACAGGAAATGCTGAAAAACAAAACAAAACACTTCCTCTGAACTGCATAGCACACAATCACTGCCAGTCTAAGAGGCATGGGATTGCCCAGTTAGAAGCCACCAGTAGACTAGCTGACCCTTATTTGTGAATCTCCTTGTTATAGGAATCAAACCCATCTTAGGTTCTATAATGTGTAGCCCTCAAAACACAACAATGAAAGCACGTTTTTCCACCCATACTTCACACAGTTCCTTCTAAGTGATCATTTTAATAAAGCTGGTTTGTGCAGTTAATATTTAACCATGGTGGATGACAGACGCCTAGAGCACAGGGGTTGGCAAACGTTTCCCCTGAAAGATCAGATTGTAAATATTTTTTTAGACTTTGCAGATCACAATATTTCTGCCACTGTAGCTTGAAGGCAGCCATAGACAATATATAAACAAATGGGCGTGGCTGTGTTCCAATAAAACTTTATTTACAAAAACAGATATTAGGCCTAATTTGGCTCATGGGGCAGTTTGCCCACTTTGCTATAGAGTAAATGAGACTATTCTAAACAGACAGATACACACCCCACATTCACACCTCCAAATAAGCTTTATCTTTCCAAACAGTTATGCCATTTCCTCCCAATATTTTCATTGCTCAAAATGTTTCAAGACCTAGAGATGCTTTCAGACTTGGTTTCAAGCCACTTAAAATCAGTCATATTATTTAGCAGAGGATGTCATCTATAAAGTTTCCCAACTAAATTACTTTTTTACTAAGACTGATATAATAATATTTTAAAAATCTAAGGCTGCATCAGAGAAAGAATATTTTAAGACTAAGTACAACTCAAGACAAAAGGTGGATTTCCCAAGCTTTGACAGCAAAACGCAGCCCTTCTCTGTTGGGGAAGCCATCACTTACTTGCAGATAGTACAAGCAAAGCAGTTGGGATGGTAGGTCTTGCCCAGGGCGGTCACCACCTCTCCTTCCACGAACTCCCCACAGCCGTGGCAGCGTGTCCCATACATCCTCTGGTAGTCCAGGGTGCAGAGATACTCCCCGTTCTTTATGAAGAAGCCCCCTTGTGCCAGGTCACAGCCGCACACTGTGGAAAGACAAGTTCACATCTGGTCATCATCTGCCAAGCTGCGGGGCAGCACTTGCCTTCTACTGCCTTCTGGTTACTTACTGTATGATCTCAGTGGTTTGGGGTTAGGGGAGGGGACTGGTACAAAGAGCTATTTATTGTTGGGCTTTGAATTCTCTCCTGCCTCCCTCCTCTTTCGTTTCCCTCCCTTTGGGAGCTATGCAATATCTCATACAAGTAAAATCCATTGGCTAGGTCTCAATGGCTTTTGTGGTATGTCTAAGATTCAGAGACAATCAAACAGTCTTTGATGGAAAGATACCCTTGGTTCATGCTGTCTCACATACGAACAAAGGTGTCCCTGGCAGTGTTACTAGGAAAGGTACCCACTGCTTGCCCACACAACTGCTTGGCTTGGGCCAAAATTGTTACTGAGCTGAGTAATAAATTCCCACTATACCAAAAGCAGTAGCTGAAATGTCCAATGTCTATTTTTTCACACTCTGGAAATACTTTCCCATAGCTATGAAAAATTCAGACGTTTAATTTTCTCTTTGTGCAGTAAATAGGATAAGCCAATTATTTATATATTATATGGAGAGATAAAAATAAACAGGCAAAAGAGGAAAGAAAAGGGAATGTGGCCAAGATAAAACTGTCATTCAGGACCTCAGCACATTCAAAAGAGGATGCTTTGCTGTGTCTGGCTTTTGGCGTCTCTCTCAAACTGTGCAGCTGTGAATTATGGAGATGGCACAAAGAAGCAAGTCCTGGGCTGCCAGGGACTTAGGCCTGGTCTACGTGTTCAGACAAGACCAGAGCAGGACACAGCAACTTGTCCAAAAACAAAGCTGAAGGCAGCCCCTGAGAGTAAAGATTGTCCACTGCCAAGTGACCAGGAAGCAACAGCCAAAGCCAGAAATCGCTCATCGTAACCTCCATATTCCCAAGGCTGGATGACTCGCATACAATTAAGGGCCTTAGGCAAAGAATCCAGGATTCTTCTTGATTATTCCTGCAAGCAGCTGGAATAGGCACCCAGTTGGGGGAGGGAGGAGGCGAGTTCAACCACTAAATTGCTTTCCTAAGGACCTACTAGAACTCTTCCAGGGTTTCTCTGATTAGTTCCCATGACTCATTAATGCATCTAGACGAAGTAGTGCTGAGCACAGTAAGATTCTGACTGAAGTAACCACTCCCCCACCCTCAGTTATAGGTCTTTACTAACTGCAAACTATTAAAGACGTTCAAGGTGACATAGTACCTACAAACAAGCTTCCCACTGTGGATTCATCAGTCTTTGTTTAGATCAACACTCCATGGCTATGACCTCCTTCTTTGCAATTTATAATCAGGTAACCCAAGATGATGGCCTGAGTCCATCACGTCTGAAAATGACCACCCTATAAATACCACTGTGATCGCATTACCTGGTAAACAGCTCATTCACCACCTGCTGCCTCCTCTAACCTGCCAGTGCCCCGACTGTTCTCACACCTGCTCCATCCTTACCAAATGGGTCCTTCGGGTCGAGGGAACTCAAGTATGGACCAGCCTCTCGGACTGCAAATTCCTTCAACAGCAATAAACACAATTCTGGGGGGTCACAGAACACCTTAACAAGTTTTCTTCAATATTTTCCTATGTACATATCTTATTTTCCCACGAGGCGACAAAGCACTTTACAGGCAAGAGTCCTCATCTTTACCTCTTTTGGTTCTTCTTCAGGAACCTTCAGCCATGGTATTTAAGGTAATACTGCAAACACAATTTCTGAACTAAGTTGAATCCAGCCTCAAATTTGGTGGGTTCCCCTGAATTTCACTCCTCAATGACATCAGCAGTTCTGATGACTCGGTTACTTTTCCAAACTTGGGTATTTCTCAAAGCCATGAGAAGTGACAAAATAATGCATTTGGACTACAAGTAATTCCCTTTGTTCCCTCCTCCAATCACCTGTGGTAAGTTTAAAAATTCACAGATCCTTTATAAAAAGATCTGGTGGCAATACGGTAATCTTTATGCTACTACAGATTGTTGAGACAGCTTCAAGGCTAAATGTTTTAGAAATGTTCTCAATGTTATAGAAATTCCTTGTAGTTACCTGCTTCCTTAGGGTACCTCTGTGTAGTCTTTCTAGTTCACATGTTTTTGTGAAATTGACATAGACTCTCCTTTATTAATAAAATCCTAGTTTATATGAAACTAATGTAGCCTTAACAAAATGACCTCATAACTACCGTTGAGAGATGCCAAACTACAATCGAACTGTACTCCTTTGTGACTTGATTTGGCTTAGTCCTTAAATTCAAAGCAGTGGCCCAAATTGGCTTATCAAACTGTACCATTGTTTTTGGTGGTTTATACACAAGGAAACCAGCATTTGAAGAAAGACTCACAGAGGCAGGAGTCACTGAAGGCATATACGACAAGCAGTGAGAAGGAAAGGCTATGCTGCTAATACCGAAAAGATACCTATTACATTTCCTAAGAATGGACTGGTTGTGACATAATTTCAGACTCGTTCCACTCTCGCCTCTCCAGGCGTTACTTGCTTGTTGCTCCTCCTCCTCCAACCATAACTTCTCAGTCTCTTCTGCCAGACACTTAAACGCAGGTAACTCCCATGGATGCCATCTGCTTCCTCTAGAATATAAGGCTCCCTGGGAACAGATCTCATCCATTCTCAGAGCTTCAACGATGACTTTGTGCAAAGGGTTCTCAAATCAATGTCTCTATCTGTGATGTCTTCCCCAAGCTTTAGACCCTTATTTTTAGCTGCCTACTGGGCACAAACAGACAGCATGCCTATCTCAAACTTAGCATTTTCAAAACAAACCCTAACATCTCAGCTTCTCTGCCATCCTCCCTACAACCTTCTGCTATTCTTCTACTTCTTTCAATCAAATGGCAGCACTATTGATTCTCCCACTCTTACACCAAATTTTTCACCTGGACACTAACTCCAATTCATTTTCCCAAGAAAACATTTCTTTGATCCACTTCCTCCTCTGCCTCTTGCCATCACTACTCAGATCCTGGCCTTCAGCATCACTCTCCTGTAGTAAAACAATTTTATTTTAACAGTCTTTGTACTGGCCCCCCCCAAAAAAAAAAACCTGGAAACAACTCGAATTTCCATCAGTAGAGCAATAGTTTAATAAATTACAATATGTCCAGTCTATGGAGCTGGTATTAAAAAGAAGAGATTAGATCAATAGCTACAACCCAGAGTCCTGTCCATGATATAGCATTAAGAGAAAAGAACAAATGTCACAGAATAAAGAATTTTAATAATCCCATTTAAAAAAGGCTCCTTATGTTTTTATGAACAAGGAAAAGTGAGTCATCACAAACATAAGGTTATTAAATTGATTATCTCAGCAGGATGAAGAATTATTAACTTTTTCTTCACATACCTATGTGTCAGCTCACTTTCAAAAAACTAACTGTGGTAAAATACACATAACATTTACCATCATAACCATTTTTAAGTGTACAGTTCAGTGACATTATGTACATTCACACTGTTGTGCAACCATCACCCCCATCCATCCACAGAACATTTTTCATCTTGCAAAACTGAAACTCTGTACCCATTAAACAATAACTCCCCATTCTCCCTCCCCCAGCCCCTGAAACCACCATTCTACTTTCTGTCTCTATGAATTCGATTACTCTAGGTACCTCATATAAGTGGAAGCTCACTTTAATATTAAGATGTTAATAAAAATTATCCAAAACTTGGAAATAAGGTAAGAGAGAGAAGCATATTCTTCCAATGTCATATTGGAGTATTAACAGCTCACACAAGGATTATTTCATTATCCAGGGCACTGGATCTGTGTTTGAGAAGCTCTTTACTATTGATTAAAGGCCTAGACTTTGAAAGTAATGGTAATTTGTAGATTCTTATCCAGTAGAGATGCATAGGATTTCCATCCAGTTTTATTGTCCTGTTGGACTGCTAATCAGTTTATACCTACCCCTGGCATCTTATCCTGACATTCCTTCTTGAATGCCGTTATAACCCATCCCCTTGGTTCTCCTTTGAACCAGCTTTACCATCCTTCTGGCTCCCTCATTAATGAGTTGAATAAATCTTTGATATGTGCTCATTCTATATTCGTATCAGTGTCATATATTTAACTTTTTGAAAATTACACTTTGACGAAGGGGTCACTCTTTTTAACCAAAAATATCTAAAGATGAACATTTAAAATTTTGAAAAAGCTTTGGTCTGTTTTATATTAACAGCTTAGCAAACACTTTTAAATGATGGCAGAAAGCAAAAACTTCACATCCAAATGATCACAAAATCTCAATTAGTAAGGTCCAGCTTCAGTAGGATATATTTAGATTTTTAACTCTGAGTACTCCATTTGTCTTGGCTTTAATTGAAAGGTAACATATGCCCAGGGAAAAGCACAGATTCCTTTCATAAAAAAACAGAGCTGCCAGGGAAAGAGATTAATCGCTTTCTTCTTGATGCTCAATTATTTACAACATGCCCCACTCAAGGCCCCACTGAATCTTGCCTGCTTTGCTATCACTGAGGCATGCCCAGAAACAGCCATACATCTTGTTGATGTTATGCTCTTGAATTCATTCTCTGCAAACTACTGAATACCATTAACTGGTGAAGTAGGAGTATGAACATCCAAGCAATTTCATGTACAAGTTGTGCAATTAGTAACAGACCCATTTTAAAATCGTAACTCTTTAAAAAAAAAATTAACTTGTTGTAAAAATACCACACAGCAGGAGAGGAACAAAATATGGAGGTGTCAAATAAGGGTGGAAACAGAACAGTATTTTAGTGGCATGAACAAGGCTGCTGTAGCAACTATTTCCTCAACCTTCTAAAAATAGCAGTTACATTTTACGTTGCAACAAATTCATTTCAGGGACATTTCATCTGCCTGTCAAGTAATTCATACTGCCAAAAATTTAGAAGAATAGGTAGTACTTAAAACTCTGCCGAAAGGTGGGGTTGCAGGTAAAACACAAAAGATGTT